CTTGGCCGTCAGGAGTTAGCTAAGGATGGAACACTGGGCAATGGGTGAAGGTTCCCTTTTAATTGCTATGAGAGTGGTCCTGTGGGAGGTCAAGAGGGCAGAGCTGACCCATCGTAGGCTGACATGAGGAGGAGCCAGGAAAGGAAAATAACAGAAGCATAAGGTAACAATTTTCCATTATATATGTGTGTGTTTGGGCTTGATCATAAGAATGTAGGAATAAAATGCAAATAATGTGCAAAGTAAAACCGGCTGAATAACTGGAATATGAATTATTCCATGTTACCTAAATTCCTTTAGAAGACAAGGATGATAAAAGAGAAAGCAAGTTAAATGAAGATAAATAAAATATAAGGACAATTAATGTAACAACAATAGAAGTTAATCTCTACCTGGTAACATCATTAACCAAGCGGGTTTGTAACAATAAATCTCTTCTGGGCAGCAGGTTGTCACAAATGAGGTTCTGATTTGTACGAACTGCAACACCATTGCAAACACACAGAGAGCAGAGGACATCCAGGACCTGAGAAATTAAGAGATTCTTGAAGAAAACATATATAGATACAAGGGAAAAGATCACTATATATAGAGAAAAATTACCACGTTCGCTCACTTCTCGATCCTGTCACGGCTCTCTGCCGTGTCGGGAGGGGCTGGTTTCCCCCTCTCCGCTCCGATCCTCAAGCGCTGTCTGGCGGAACGGATGGGGGAGGGGGGCGGGTACAGCTTGCTCTGCCTCTAGATAGGCAGAACCAGCAGTCACTCACGCAGCTGGGCGGATCCAGACATAATTGTCGGGATCCACTTCAGCTGCGCCGTCTCAGTATACTGCAAGCTGTAGCTCACGGTATATTGAGCTTAGGGTGACGGGTGGACGCCAGTTTGTGTCCTCCCGTTACCCTAAGGAGAACTATGGGGAAAAGCCCTAACCCCATAGTTCTCCTTTAAGTATATTTTTTTACTGAAAATTTGAGTTTGATAAGCAGTTGTTCTAATATCATGGAACATTAAATAACCATTTTATTTTACAGGGTTTCTCTGCTTTCATAAAATTATTAATTCTGGGGAGTTTAAGTAATCTTCGGGTCTAAAATGTGCATTTTAACATGTGTGCAAAAAAAAATCCCTGGAAAAAGGCTCTGGCAGTAGAAGTGTTAAAATTGTAGCAACAGGTGCAGTAAAAATCGAGCTAACAATAATAATAATAGTAATAATAATAATAATAATAATAATAATAATATATACACATACAGTAACACAATTATAAATAAAATATTGATGTTGAATAAACTGCATTTAAACTGTAGAGGGGAATAAGACAGTCCACAAAAAAGCTATTTGAATCTTGCAACACAGGTTTTATTCTAAATTTCAATCACTGTAGCACTGTCTGCTTTTGCATTAAGGTACAACAAATTCACCCAAAATAAATAAGCACCTAGCTAGTCCCACTAAGCCGAGGGGGGCACTTTTCAGCCAAAAAAATGGGCTGAAAATCTCGGCTTATACTCGAGTATATATGGTATGTACTAGGGATTCCATATCATAGGCATAAACCAAATTAACATTTTTGCGATAATGATATGCATAATGTCTAGTTCTTACTCTGAGGTTGTAAAAGTAAAGCAAGTGAGCACGTGTTGCTTTCATAATACCTTGTGGTTCCTTCCATGCTTGTCCAACAGGGAAATGATAGAGCGTATGTGTCCTTTCTCTATTAAGTTTAAAGCCTCAGGGCTTTCAATCAAGATACAGTGCAGAACCTCCAATATTCCTGCAGTAACAGAAAAAAACAAGTTGTATAAATTACCTTTGTATTATGTCAGAATGTCATTTGGCACCAGCTTGACAGAAGCCTTGCATCCCCACCATGAACTGTTAATAAGATTCCCACAGGAAACATGCTGAACCAGTCACTGCCACATCAAACTGCAACCTGCTGTACAGGGACAGACAGGAGTCGAGTTAAATGAATGCTTTGTACTGTTGATGATAGTGTAATACTGTGACTGGCTATAGTTATTTAGGATGTACTGGAGATCATGTATGAATACAGAAGTTGTTCTGTCTCTAAACATAAGCACTTAAAACTATCCAGATCTAACAGCTACAGACATTAAATTGTTGGTATGGCTGCCTCAAATGTACTGGACTGTATTAATGTCCAACATATTTTAGGGACATAGAAAAATATATTTTAATATTTAAAGCTCATCTTCAGCTAAACTGTATTTTTTATTTTAGCTTTGGTTGGAACCTTTGTCAACCTTAAAGCGGACCTTCACCCCCTCTCACTAAAAATCACAGCTGATTGCTTATTTAAAATCATCTTCTAACAACATCTTAAACAAACTTGTTAAAACGGTATCGGTGCATCCCTAATATATATATATGTATATATAAAATTATTATTATTAGGGATGCACTGATACCATTTTTTCCAAACCAAGTATTAACACTTGTCCAAGTAATACAGATACCGATTACTGATACATTTTTGTTTAGTGTCATATGACAGTTCTAAAACAATACAGACTAACGATTTCAGGGCAGTGGTGGCACTGGTATCTGAACATTCTTATTTACAACTTTTAAGGCAGTAGCTTTGCATGTTTAAAGTGTGTTTCCAATTTTGCAGCCAAATTGGGATAACACCTATTTCATATTTGTTATATATTCCCATTCACATACAATAAGCTAAAACAAAAAATATTTTAAAAATGCTTCTTGCAGTCTAAATTGATTTTACTTAGGTTAGTGTTTCTTGGCTTCTTAAGGGTTAAAATGTCTACTTGCTTTTCCTTCTATTGTAATGTTAGGAGGGGCTGTGAGAGATGAGGAGCTTCTCCACTGTATGTTAATTAGGTTAATGAGAGAAACACAATCCTCAAATGTCAGTCCTAATCTTTCTATTAGGACAGATCACAGTGAAGGTGCTGAGAAAAACCTGGAATCAGCCATGTTGCCTACTGCAACAAAACATCTAAAAGGTAAGATTTAAAAAAAATGTTTTTTTCGTATACTGTGTGAAAAGAAAAAAATAACAAACATATAGAGCGGTTTTCTCAAATTTGACTGCAAAAGTGGAAATAGACTTTAAGACTAGAACAGCTTGTATCTAAACTGAATAAATAGGATCTGATATGGTATCTTTAAGTTACGGAGCAGTATCAGCAGACTGAGACTCTTCAGGCACAAATCTAGAAGTCATGTATGAGACTCTTAGGCCAATAAAGCATCCTCAGTACCAGAGGCCGCTACAGCTGAAGGAATGTCAGTTACAGACTCTGGGTGGAAGACTTAGCAGTACACTTGCAGCCCTTGCATTCTGAGTCAGCTATCATGACTGTAGAAAATTCCTCCTTGGATAATGCAGTGAACGGAACCATGCCTGATGGAGCTAGCAAAGACTCTGAAGAGCATGTGGACACAAACGGGTCAACGATCATTTGGGATCCAGCATGCTGTACTACAACTGAGGCAAAGCAAATGATACACCAAGGTGTATTTGCAAACCAGCTGCAGGATAGGTTATATGGCAGGAGGTGACCGAGTTATTATAGGCAGCAGGAAGAATAAATCAAGTAAAAATAGCAGGACCCTTCCAAGTAGAGCAAAACTGCCTCATCCTGAAGGCAGGAAGAGATAGTGTAGAGTGCACCCGCAACACAGCTGTTAGTAATGTAGCACTTATTTCACTGGTAAGTTAACGCTTTAGGGAAAAACGATGGCTGTAGAAAAGTATTTTGTGCCATGCTCACATAGGGCTAAGCTATAAACCTGGAAGGTGCTCTACGGGCAAACAAGCACAGTACTAAGGTACCAGAAAGTGCCATTTGCGTAACCTATTGGTTAATGCCACATTCCAGGAATTATTTGCCCCATCCATGTGCAAAGAAGTCATCATGGACAAGGTCACAACTGAAGCTGGGTCATGGCACTGGACCTCTAAAGTGCTATATGGCTAACAAACCAGTACCCTAGGTGTCTGGGGAGTGCCACAAGCAGAGCACAGTTTCCAGGGGTCACATTACAGGCAAGATCCATAAAGCTGCAAAAAACTGAGTTCAGCAACAAAACAATAACCTAATTAAAGCAAAATATCTTGCTGAAAAAATATTTTTTAGGAAAAATGGGTAAACTTTTTCCAAATAGAAAATAACTCCACCTCCTAGGACACAAGGAACAAACTGAAGCATCATGTTAGTGGGAGGGATTATACCTGGCTAGCCAATTATTTTTTTGTTTGCTAGTGTCCAAATCCTTCTGAAGGCAGCAGTACCCAAATGTCTCTGATTTCCCCCTGATTCTGTGTTTCTTAGTGAATGAAAACAGAAATGTATTACACTGCAGATTACCAGTCCTTAGATTAGTGGCTACATTAGCTTTATTTTTTTCCACCTAAATACATTTTCTGCAAGTTGAGAAAAATACATATTGATCCTTGTTTTGTAAATCTCTCCCCTTTGTTACTGAAATGAGGGGAGGGAAAGAGGAGGTGTTACTGCCCAAATAAGGAGAGCAGACCAAAGTGACAATGCTGCTCTTCCATAAATACAGTACAGTGAGTGTTGTCATGCTAGGAAAGGAAGTGCATTACTGACAGGATCACTGTAAATAATAAAGAAAAAAAATACTGAAAAAAGAAAACAAGGTCAAAACCAGATCAATTTTTGTTCTTAGGATTAGATACATTTTAATGGTCAGCAGAAAGCAATATTGTTGTTGGACTGCCATTATAACTTTTACTTTCTATTGCAGGAGCTTCTGATAATAAAAATGTAAACAAGTGGCAATTACTCCCAATATGTCTGAAGGTTCTCATTAATCCAGGTCATGATATATCTGTAGAAAATAAATCAAGGTAACTGGATTTGCTGTATTTTCCTCAAAGACGTTTTGCTAGTCATCCAACTAGCGTTCTCAATTTAGAATGACTTGTACAGAACTCCCAGGATTTCGCAAGTCCAGAACCTAATATTGGGCACAGGGGAAACAGTGGTATGCTACGATGTTACCTCCCTCTTCACCTGCATATCCACCACCGAGGCAATTGAAACAGTTAGAAAATGATTGCTACTAGACAACACGCTAGGCAGCAGAACAGAACTTAACCCAGATCAAGTGTGTACCTTATTGGACCTTTGCCTGAGTACCACCTATTTCAAATGCAAGGATAAGTTCTACAGGCAAAAACATGGCTGTGCCTTGGGATCGCCAGTTTCACCTATTGTGGCAAACCTGTACATGGAGGAATTAGAAAGGAAGGTCCTGACCGCCTTTAAGGGAATTACACCCAGTCATTGGTTCAGATATGTTCACAAACAAGAGTTATAGGCTTTCACTGACAACATCAACTAAGTAGATTATAACATCAATTTCACACAGGAAGATATGCAAAACAACACACTGGCTTTCTTGGACTGTTTGGAAACAGTAAAAGGAGGAAAGGAGGTTGGAAACAGAGGTCTACCGAAAACTACCATACACACGGACCTGCTTTTTGACTCCCACCATCCTCTAGATAGCAAACTGGGAGTCATCAGGACTCTACACTACCGGACAGAGAAAATCCCCACCATCACAGAGGCTTAGGCGAAGGAATTCAAACTCCTCAGAGAGGCCCTTAAAGCTTGCGGGTATCCAGACTGGGCTTTTGTCAAAACAGAAAGAGGGAGAGGAAAGAACACCAGGAGCACAAGTGAGAGTGAAAAGCATGACAAACAAAAGAATATGGTAATCCAATATGGAGCTGGGGTGTCTAAAAAGCTCAGAAGGATTTCTAAAAAACATCCTATCCCTGTCTGCTTTAAACCCAGCAATACACTGAGGCAACAACTGGTTCACCCAAAAGACCCAACACCTAAACACAAGATGAACAACATTGTGTACACAGTCCAGTGCAGTGAGGAGTGCTCAGAATTGTATGTCAGTGAAACAAAACAGCAGTTACAACTGTGTATGGCACAGCATAGAAGAGACAAACCCTCTGGTCAGGGTTCAGCAGTGTACCTACATCTAAAAGAAAAAGGTCACTCTTTTGAAGACAGTCAAGTACTCATCCTAGACAGGGAGGAGGACTGGTTTAAAGAAGCTGTAAAATAGGCCATTTATGTAAAAATGGAGAAGCTAACCTTGAACAGAGGCGGGGATGGTGAGGCATTTATGTCTGTCACAAACAATGCTGTTTTAACACCTCTCTCGGGGGAGTTAATAACACCTGCTAGCTCCAATCATGCAAATGCAATCAACACCTTACCCCCATGAGGTCTCTGACCCCATGTTGGTTATAATTAACAGATTATGTTGATTGAAGCAACATTCACCATAATTATTCCCAGATAATTTTTGTACAAGTCATTCTGAATTGAGAAAGCTAGTCGAATGACAAGGAAATCCTCTTGAAGAAAAATACAGCAAGTCCAGTTGCCTTGATTTATTTTTTACAGATAATTACTCCCAATGATTTTCATGATGATGCCACAGCAATGAAAGGCTCTGTGAAATGAAGCCACATAGAATGATTTACAAACAGATATTGCCATTATTTAAATTAGTAAAATGTAAGCATCACATATATTAATAAATACAAATGTTTTACCTCATTATGTTGCATTTGATGTCACTATATTCTGAATTTGTGTCAAATACAAAGGTGAATATAAATGAATATTCATTCTGTTACATAATTTAAAATGACACTGTCTGCATGGACTTTGAACATTCTCACTGTGTTTGCCCACATTTCCTCCCACAAACCAATCCAAACTAGTAATGAGCACACCTGTGCAGCATCTCTTTGTAAACTCTGGGATGAAAACTATTCCAGTAAAACAGCAATGGCAGCCTACAGCACTGGATGAGGACCTCAGCTGTGACATGTAACAGATGAGAAAAAGTAAAATTTGTGTGGACATACCTGAAGATGACTCAAGACGCTCTAGCTTACTTATAAGCCAATCGAGATTATTGGAAAATTGTGCACAGTTGCTTCTATTTCCACGAATCAGAGCAGCTAAAAGAATAAAAAGCATATTATGGAATAAAAAGATAAACATCCAACAGTTATTTGAAAATTTAAACAATGAAAAAAAAAATCAATGCATGTTGCCATAAACTCTGCTATCACAGAGACTTACAGTTTGATTATACATGCATGAAGGTCTGATATTTCATGGAAATAAATAGATCCTGTTGACAAATCATTTTTAGGAAATGTAAGAGGTAGAAATGAGATTTGGATTTAACATGGATTTGAGGCAAAGTCAGCACATTTGTGGTTCACCACTCAACAATCTAATGGGACTTTACCACCATAGCAACCAGCTATCCATAATTCACTTCCTGCCCTTTGAACTTAGGTCAGATGTCTTAGAAGGGCCAATGAGAAGGTGTTTGGATAAGCTAGATCCCTCACTATAAAAGGTTGGGTTCCTAGTAGTCATATTGACAATGTGCTTAGATGTGATAGAGAAAACATAGGATGTCTTGCTGATAAAGTGATATAACAGATATAGTGACAGTTCTTGTAGGCTTGTTGGCACTGGTCCCTTAAAGTAGATGTAAACCCTGACTGAATGTCCTATGGGGAGCAACATTCTGTGTATCTTGGGGAATGGGGGGTGAGGGGAAGGAATGGTTTTTACATTTTAATTTTGCTGATATCCTGCAGCTTCTTTATAACTTGTCCCTTTTCACAGGCACTACACTTATAACAGGCTGCATTTGTTTTTTTTATAAGGCATACTTCCTAATTGTTGCTGGCAGCATATTACCAATAGGCCTTGGTGACAAGCGTGTAATATGTCTGTACGATGTTCACCAGCACAAAAGCTTATCGTTTCTTTTAGGAGAGCAAGTAACAGGGCAATTTACAGGCAGGAGGATGTGGAAGACAGGGGCAGAGTATCATCAAAAACATAGCACAATGTGCCCAAACAAGGACCTTTATTTCAGAATCTGCAACCAGTATTTTTCATGAAAGCTAGACATTAAAATAGGTTTCCCTAGTAATATTATCATGGTAAAGCTTATATGAGGTTTTAGAGGTTAGGTTTACATCTACTTTAATAAACTATGGATGAGTTATTGAATTGCAGTGCCTAGGTACATTTTCTTATGTGACCTGCTTGTGGGCACAGCTCTGTACACACAAAACGGACCAATATCTGTCCACGGCAACTGACTGATAGCTAGTTCTTTAATTGGCAACACCTTGGCTACTATTTAAAAAAAGTGAAAGAACAGTGTGCACCTAAACCACCTCACAATATATCAATCACATCCACCATACCATCCTGTCCCCATAGAAAAAGTTGTCATACACTGCTTAGGCCTATTACTCTTTTGTCTCTATTACAAGTACAGACAATTCCCACCCTCAGTAAAATATCCTGCTGCTGGGCATTTCTTTTGGATTAAAACTTTTAGCTTGGAGTCATAGCACACATGGCAGCTATTGCTGACAGTCTGCAATACCTGCCATTTTTCACAGCACCTCACTGCATCCTTTGAAAACAACATGTAAAAATACTGTGCACCCAAAACACCAAACACCCTATCCTTAAGTTAATAAAAGTCAGTTTCTTAGTCATTCCAGCTGCACTGAAGGTCCTCTCTTACATGACACACGCAGCAGGGCAGGCTAGTAGCTTTAGAGCATATTTGGACACCTAAAGCCAGTAGTACATGCTTGACACCCAGTAGTCCATGGACATGATCACGAGGGCAGGGATGGCTTTGTAATGAATAAATAACTATAACAAAAATTAAGAAAACAAGAAAATAGTGATGGCAGGTGTGCCATTGGCTGGGTCTGGACCAATGTTTGGCTCTCAGCACTATCAAACCAAGGGAGGGAGGTGTAGTTGCATTCCTTCTATCCCCACAAAGCACTTTTCAAGGTCTTCCTATACCACTTCTTTATCCCTCTCCTCTTTTGAAGTTCACTGTATTTGTCTGTTTTTCCCAGTTTCTGTGAGGACTGCTGTGATTTATCAGCCTTTGAGACCAGTGGCATGCTTCCTTGGTAATGTTAACACTAGGGATGCGCCAAAATTTAATTTTTAGACCGAAACCAACATTTCTAAATATGTCAAAAGCCAAAACTGAAACCGAAAGTTACTTTTTTCTACAGCCCCAGCTCTAAATGAACAGGAAGCTCTCATTACAGAGACTTCCTGTTCCTTCATAATCTGGAGAAATAAATATTTACTATCAACCCAGTCATGAATGGAGATAGTAATTATTTACTATGTCCACAATCATGAGTGAACATAAAGCGATGTATAGCACATCCTGTTTGTTCATTCATAACTGTGGACATAGTATTAACTTTGTCCTCAGTTATTTACAAACACTAAGCTATCAGTACTGATTGCTCTGTGTTTGTGCTCTGCTCTCCATTCTGTACAGGCACTGAACACACCATGTCTACCACCATATTAAATTATTTCTTCCTTTGACCCTTTACTTCACACAAAGGTGCTACACTTTTGTATTTTTCACTTTTGCTACACCACCTTTGATACTTTTGCTGCACCCACCTAACCACCTTCCCCCTGGACTCCATCCCCTTGACAACTACTCCGGTCACCCTCTAGCTCTATTCTACACTCTCTTACTCACAAATGCAATCTCCCTATCTAATGGCATCTTCCCCACCCCTCTAAAACAAGCACTGGTGAACCCCATACTAAAAGAGCCCTAAGTGGACCCTACCAGTCTGAACCACTAAAGACCCTACCTTTTCCTGTTTGCCTCTAAACCTTTTGAATGCCTAGTCTACAACCGCCTGAGCTGCCACCTTACCGTTAACAACCTTTTTGATCCCTTTCAGTCTGTCTTTCTTCTGCAACACTTCACAGAAACTACCCTCCTCAAACTTAATAACAACTTACTAACTTCTAAAACCAACAACCACTCTTTCATACTCTTAGACCTTTCTGCTTCCTTTGACCAGTTGACCATTTATTCCTCTTTTCTTTAAAATCTTGCCAACTTAACCTCCACAACATTTTCTGAAATTTACCCCTTCATAACAAATGAAACCCGAAGCTTCTAAGTGACGCTCTGTAATTTCTTGTCTCGACTATTGCAACTCCCCCCTGCTTGGTCTACCACTACACAGGCTATCCCTCCTTCAGGCTATCATGAATGCTGCTACCAGACTCATCCACTTCCAGACTCATCCAGCCGTTCAGTGTCTGCTGCCCCCCCCCCCCCCCCCCCCCTCACCCCCGCCCCC